TTACTATTTCTGATTTTCAACATTTTTCCTACATTTTCTAAATTCTTAGATTTTTTGGATGCTCTAAAGTCTTCTGTTCTGTTATAATTTAGCAGTCTAAAATGAAGCTAGACAATATTCGCTACAGGTAGTCTGTTCGCTCACAGTTATTGAAGTAAATATACATAGCACACATACAAAAAAAATCATATACAGGTATCAAAACATAAATGAAATGAGAACGCTCCACTAATGGGGGAAAAAGGTTTGAGATTAAAGAATTCAAGAAATTCTTGACAGAAATACTGGTTCATCTTTTCTTTGAAGTAAATTGTAGAAAAAACATGAAATAAAACAAATGAATGAGCATGTTTTTTAACAGTTCCCTTGCATTCAAACTTCATCATACCATTTTCTTCCTGTTCAATTGCAGTTTATCCTTTACTTCATGATATCACTTGAAAGCATATTTCTACTTTTGTCTCAAGGAAGTTTAGATTATTTTCAATGAAAACAATTCTGATACTCATCACTGAATCAAATCAAATGCTTCCAGATAGTAATGAATACTTTAAAGATTTTGGTGTGCTTGTTTGTCAAATTTATGAACACTTGTAGAAATAAATGAAAAAATAGAAATGAATATAAATCACGCATTCTTACTTCCCTAGTCTTGGCCATAATATTTAGTGCTTGCAAAACTAGTGCTCTTAAATATGGTCAAATATCAAATGGTTCTAAATTCAGTCACATTTCATCCATTTTGTTCTTCTGTTCATGTTTTTTTCCCTCTCTTTTATGAAAAGTCAGTTTTCACTATTACTGAAATCTATAGAAAGTTAGAATATTAGAGATAGAGAAAGAAAATGTATGACAGCAATAAAACCAAACAAATAAATTATTAAAAAAATATATATACATAAAATAAGGAAGAGAACTGAAAGCGAGTGAAAACAAATATGCAAAGAAACATGAAAAACAGATATATATGTATATAAAAATAATTGCACCTCCTAAATATTATCATCCTGAGGATATTCAATTTATGCAATTTTTTTGTGAATTATTTTTATGCTATCAGTATTCAGTATTCATTACTTTCAAACACAATAACAAAGGTAAATGTAAGAAAAGATAATAATAATACAAAAATAAAATAAATAATAATAATAAAAATAATAATCTAAGGTCTTATGAGGTAAATAATATCAGAATATATGTATAAATAACTAATATGAAAAAATCCACCATACTAAAAATGGAAAATAAAACCTCATTGTAAAGATATCAACTATATTTGAAAAGGATAGGCTAATGGACAGGTTAATAATAATAATAATAACTACTATATCATTAATGACTTGATGCAAACACCAATGAGGAATAGACTTATAAACTTTCTCTCTTTTATCACAACTCTTTCAAAAAGACAAATTCACTTCATATAAACAAAAAAAAAAATAGCATTCACATCATTTCTCCACATATTTAACATAATTTAAATATCTCTTAAGCAGCACATTAAAATAGCAAGTTAGTTCATCACAGACAAGATTTTTTAAAGTTGTTAGGATATATGGGTACATATATATTTTTTCATCCTTTCCTCACAAATGCCTGTGACAAACAGAACATGGCTTTCCTTGGCTTATAATTCACTCATAGTTATTCAAGCACGAAACATTTACAAATTATCCAGAAAAAAAGAAAGTACAATAACTATGTAATACCTAACTAACTTTTGTCTTTCTTTTTGTTCTCTATCAACTTTTACCCTCCTTAAACAATATGTTCAAGTTGATTCCATAGCTAATAGAAAAAAAGGTTGGGGATGGGGATAGGGGAAGGGGCAAGTTAAGTGTTTTAAAAAAAATATCAGCAAAAAACTATTTACACCTACACAAAGAACCTCTTTCAACATCCGCTATCATTTACCCCTAGACATGGAGGACCTACTGGATACCCCAACTGCCACATAGACAGGCATAGGCAGATAGGCAAATGCACAGTAGAGAATTGGGAAGTGGCCCAACTATGAGCAACAGACAGAGCCTACTGTTGTTGCTGTCGTTGTTTCTGCTACGGCATACTACGACTTGGCTGCATCCATCTGTTTCATGATCTGTTCCTTGATGATCTTGGTTGCTTCGCTTGCCTTTGGGATGAGAAACCTGTCCCAAAGTGAGATAACAGATTTAGACATTAGCAGAATTACAAAATCAGTATTATCATAACTGACTTAGACTGGGTATTTCTGTCTCATTACTGTTAGTTTTAGTGACTCAGGAGAACTGCTTATACAATAATTGTAATCATATCAAATTCACTGATAAAACTATGGATCTTAATATATATATATATATATATATATATATATATATATATATATATATATATATATATATATATATATATATATATATATATATAAAATATCAAGAATTCTAGAAAAAAAATAATTACTAGTCTTTAGTATGTTACACATACTGGTGTACAAAACACAATCTTTATTTTCATCATA